TTCATAATTATTCTATCTATCTATCTATCTATCTATCTATCTATCTATCTATCTATCTATCTATCTATCTATCTATCTAATTTATACAGCCACCCATCTCATCCAAAGTGACTCTGGGTGGTGTACAGTAAAACCAAGAATTAAAACATTTTGCAAGCCCCTTAAAATAAAAATGGATAAAACAAGACCATGAGAGGGAAGATGTTTATGTACAGTATAACCAGCGTGTAGGCCCCCTATTACTAGGGGATCCCCAGGCTTGCTGGAAAAAGACACGTTTTGAGAGCTTTACAGGCGGCCATAAGGGTTACGGCTAACCTCACCTCCGGAGGGATGATGTTCCAGAGGCCGGGTGCCATGACAGAAAAGGCTCACCTCCTAGGTCCCATCACATGGAACTCCTTCGCAGATGGGACTTGCAGCATGCCTCTCCTGCCTGATGGGGCAGGTAGATGTAATAGAGAAGCAGCAGCCCCTCAGCTAACCTGGTCCCAAGGTCAAAACCAGTACCTTGAATTGGACCCGGAAGCAAACTGACCATCAATGCAGGTCACAGAGCAGAGGTGTAACTTGTGTCCATCTAGGGATATACATAACAGCCTGTGCTGCTGCATTTTGTATTAGCCGAAGCTTCCAGATACCCTTCAAGAGCAGCCCCACATAGACCGTGTTACAGTAGTCCATTCGGGAGGTGACCAGGGCATGAGTGACTGTGAGCAGTGCCTCATGATCCAGGAACAGGCACAACTGTCACACATCATGAAATTGCGCAAAGGCCCTCCTGGCCACGACTGCCACCTGCTCCTTGAGTAGGAGTCGTGAGTCCAGAAGGACCCCCAGATTGCGCACTGGGTCCATTTGGGGCAGTGCCACCCCATCCAGAACCAAAGATGGTAAAGTCCCAGATTTGTTAGGCCCTAAAACCCAAAGCCAGTCAGTCTTGCCAGGGTTCAATTGAAGCTTGTTGTTCCCCATCCACGTCCCTACAGCCTTTAGGCACTGGCACAAGATATCCACAGCATCACTTAATTCACAGGGGGTGGAGAGATATAATTGAGTATCATCAGCATACTGATGATACCTCACCCCATGGCAATGGATGATCATCCCCAGCGGTTTCATGTAGATGTTAAATAGGAGCAGAGAGAGCATCAAACCCTGCGGCACCCCACATAAGTAGAGGCTGAGGGTGGGATCTCTCACTCCAATACCCTAACCCTTAGGAAGGAAGAGAACCAGCACAATGCTGTAACGCCCACTCCCAATCCAGAAGGATGCCATGGTTGATGGTATCAAAAGCCACTGACAGGTCAAGTAGAGCCATGATGGATGCACTACCCCCATCCTGCTCCTGCCAGGGATCAATGCCATTTCCATCCCATGTCCAGTCCTGAAATCTGACTGAAAGGGATCCACATAATCTGCTTCATCCAGGGACTATAATCCTTCTAAAGTTACAGTCCAGGAGTTACTCCCAATATATCTATTGTACAACTGAAATATAAAGCAGAGCAAGATATTCTCTTACTTTGTATGTGTGTAATGCATGATGTATATTAAGACCAAACTAACATGTGGGACATCCTTCTGGGATAACTTTCTGCATTTAAGTTAGGAACTTGAAAATGTAAAAGCACTTGTGTTGGAACAAATCAAAAACCTATTTAGACCAGCAGTCAGTTTCCATAGTGCCAACCAGATGCCCCTTGGCAGCCAACTAACAAGATATAATCAAAATAGCATATTCCTATTAGCAACTGATATTGAGAAGTATACTGCTTCCTATGTGGGAGGTAATAGACAATTATCCCTAATTTTGTTCAGAAGCCAGATCATTTGCTGCATCCTTTCAGGAGGTGAGGTAAAGAAGAAAAAAAAATATTGTAAAGAGTTTGAAAAGCCTGGGAAATATTTAAGCTCCAAGATAGCAATCCACATGTAATTTTACCACAAATATACAGTATACCCATATATCAAATATATACCCATATATATATACTGATATGCAGACTTGTGTGCGTGTGTGTGTGTATTTTAAATACAGGTAGTCCCCAGGTTGAGAATGCTCGGCTTAAAGATGATCCATAGTTAAGAACGGAGCCCATTACAGCAAAATTCAAATTAAATACACAATGGTTCAAGTTAAATATACAATACTACTTATACAGTATTATACAATAATACTGTTCCAGCTTACATACAAATTCGATTTAAGGACAGATCTTGGGAACTGAACTTGTTCTTAAACTGGGGACTATCTGTATGCACATGCATGTGCAGTGCTTATGTTGTGCACATGCACACATTCATGTTAACTTCAGAGTAAAACTTCATGAATCAAATGGAGTACAGGTAGTCCTTGTTTAACAACCGTTTAGTGACCATTCGAAGTTACGACAACACTAAGTGACTTATGACTGGTGCCCGTAGTTATGGCCGTCACAGTGCTCCCATGGTCATGTGATTGCAATCCAGGTGTTTGGCAACCAGCTCACACTTAGAACAGTTGCAATATCCTGGGGACACGTGATCCCCATTTGCGACCTTCCTTGCCAGCTCCCGGCAAGCAAAATCAATGGGCTCACTTAACGACCTCGTGGTTTGCTTAATGACCACATGATTCACTTAACAACCACAGTGATTTGCTCAATGACCATCTCAAAAAAGGTCATAAAAATCAAGTCCCGTCATGTGATGATTCCCTTAACGACTGCATCACTTAATGACCTAAATTCTGGTCCCAATTCTGGTCATTAAGTGAGGACTATCTGTATATTAACCAGGATCAACACCAGACAAACCATCAAGTAGAAAACACTACTCTAATCAAGGAACCATCAAGGTGGAAACCACACCCACACGATAACTAGTAGAGCAAGCTACTACCTATAAACAGGCAGCAAATCTCACACTCCCTCACAATGAAGATGTTACCTAGTTGGGTAATGAACTATCTGCAAACAAACAACCAAGCTCAGAGAGCACCAAGAACTGCACAGTTCCACCCTGAGCTACATATACTGTATTAACTTCTACTGGAGTACTAAGTTATATTGTAGCATAGCAGATTATTTTACTCTTTTAAAAAATTGCCACACCATTCTGCTGGATTTTGCTGTCAGTCATTTATAAACAATTGCCAGGGAATAACTAGTTTTCTGCATAATGATAGGGAACATAAAGTAAAGCAAACCTCACTATTTGCTGAGATTCTCTTTTATGTCTTGTTTTTGATTTAGGTCAGCATTTCAGACTAGCACTAAGCCCAAGGACATTTGGTTTGATATTCTTACTACTTGTAATGTGTTTATAACTATCTCAGAATGGATGGCAGGCCTTGCTTTCCTAGAGACAATCCTCTAGATTAATGTTTGTCAACCTTGGCCACTTTAAGTTGTGTGGACTTCAATTCCCAGAATTCCCCAGCCAGCCACGCTGGCTGGGGGGTTCTTGGCGGTGAAGGCCACACCAGCTAAAAAGGCCCGGGGGGGCAAACAATAAAAAATAGGGTTTTTTTTCTTA